CACACACACACACACACACACACACGTAAACATCCTTAGATCGTTATTATAAGTCATGATATTATTCCACTTACAGTCAAAGTATGTGAAGTAATCTGCTTGGCGTGCGCGGGGCGATAGCAATCATATCTTGAGATTGTGTTAGTGTTGCTTTGCCAGCACGAGGTTTAGTTGAAGTTCTATCTCATCAGTGGCCTAATGTTTCGATTACTCATCGTCTTCTGAGGCCTTTGCTACTTGACATAATGATGCCTACCGTAAGACTGATTGGCACTACTGTCTTCAAAGGTAAGGTCGCATTAGAATATCAAGTGCACCGGCGGTCGGTATAACAAAGGCTTCTGAAGACGACGAGTACTCGAAATTTAGAACACTGATGAAATAAAGTTTCACGCAAATCTCGCGCTGGCAACAAAACACATTTTCAAGTAGGCCGAATTACAAGAGAGGACAAAAGACTTACTTATCGATCACATCTATTGCGCATTAATTTTTTAAAACTCTGTCTTGTTTTGCTTTTCTTCTGTTGCAAGCTGATTCCGAGATATGACATCATGGAAAATCATGGGACAAACTCGGACGCCACCGTCAATGGCAGATGCGCGAAGTATCTAATACATCTAGATTTTGAAGTGGACTGCCTTTGGTGTCTTTTTCTTTAATCATGCACAAGTTTTTTCACGTTTCGTGTGAGTGTAGATCTGAAGAAGCTAGATGCGATAATCAGAGGTACCTACGAAAGTCCATAATGATGCATTGTCTTTAGACTGCGCGAGATTGCAACCCCTAACAATTTGAAACCGGTGCGTAGGTTGAGTTGCATAGTCGGATTGTTTTTGCCCTTTCCTTTTTTGTTTGCGACCAAACATCATCAGAAACGTACATAGATACTTTTTTCCTAATTCGATTCACTTACAAAAACTCGAAATCAGTTTTTCACCGATCCTCTAGTGATTTTTGCAGTTTTGTGCTGTCGCAAGGAACGTCAGCTTGAATGTCTCGTCAAGTTCTCGCAGGAACTTACGAGATTCTCGTC